TCTTTTTCTACACAAACCACACACCATTTCACCTATCTTAAATATGAAGTCAGATTACAAGAGTAACTAACATGACTTCTCCCTTAAAACATTGTCTAGCAGCATATACAGGATCAAACAGGATTCATTTCTAGCTGCAATTGAGATGAAAGGAAAGGAAGAAAAGAAAAAAATCCTATAAACACTAGCTCTTGGAGCACTACTTTGTGCTGTGTGCCTTCATGGGCACATGTTCTGGAGGTGATGATAGGTACATCATAGAGGAGCACAATTTGTTGATTTTTTTGGGGGGAGGAATTACACTGGCAATCCTATCCTGTTAGAAATTTCTACTAGTGAAAGAAAAGTAATTTTACCTTGACTTCGAATTTAGTTCCATCATCTTCCTTTTCCAGGGAGTTCAAATCTGTCTCCGTGTGAGGTTCCTCAGATGTTCTTGGAAGAGGAGCTAAAGCAACAGAGAAAATATATCATTGTTTTGGTTACTCCACTTATAAACTATATCTCAGAGGACTTCACTGACTTGGATGGGCCCTGTCCATGCGGATGACTGACAAGGTTTGTGAGCTGCTGAACAGACGTTCTCCTGGGTGGATGCGATTAAAGGTGAGGGGAAAATGCAGAATATAAACAGAGTCCTTGATCCCAGGGATTTGACACGTAAGCTAAAGAAACAAAAGTCACACCCACACCACTTGAAACAGCAAACTACAAGGTATTGGTAAATACAATGTGGTAAGAACAATAGAATTTTATCCATTCTTTTCCATTTTTATCATTCTCATTCTTAATGGTCACCTCATAGACCACCTGTTTCATGAAGACTTTCCAGATTAGCACAATTGTATGAACTCTTTTATACTAAGCATAAAAGAATTATTAACATGCTTTGAATTACAGAATGCTTTACTTATGCTGTATAATACTGCATTTGATAGTGTTCTTGAATTAGAAGACTAAATTCTAGGAACCATTTGATTGAATATCTTTACATTTTAAAAAATAATTAACTTGTACTTAGAGAAAATTTGGAAAATACTAAAATTTTACTATTTAAACACAATCATTTAGCATATTTCCTTAGAGTTTTCTTTAAAATGCTCTTTGTCTCTCCACACACACACACAGACACACACACACACACACACACACACACACACACACATGATATCTCTCATACTATGACTGTAATGGGATGTCCATGCCTGGCTTAACTAGAGGAAGTTGCTGCTGATCTGATGATGTAATGGTTGAATTTCAGAACCAATGGATCCATGCTTGTATGACAGAATCAATTAATTGAGTCAGGAAGGAATGGGGCTGTCTTGCTGTTTCTTTCCTCTTTCAGTCACTTTATCTGCCTTCTCTCCTCCCCAGAAGGCTCTCAAGCACCTGGAGGTATACTTTCTTCATGCTCCATGTTCATTGGTAGTAAGACTGGCACTTGGGGAAGAGAAGCCCTGGACAGGCTTTCCAATCTGCTTTATCCAGTGTTGGGAATGATGGCCACAAGGCTAATAAGTGAATAGTACTTAGAGTTCTTGTCACTGTCACTATCTTGGAGTTACAGAATACATGGATTAACTAGAGGCAGAACTTGAACATTTCTATGTCCTATACCAACATGCCATCTATCTAATGCTACTAATATTATATTATGATCAGAGAAATCTCTGAACCTTAAATTCTTCATCTGTAAAAGGGGGGAGGTCATGAGAAAGCCTACAACATAGGGTTGTTATGAGGCTTTAATGAGTTAGTAGATTTACAGATCAGAGTTAGGACTCAATACATTTTAGCTATTATTATAGCCACAGCATTAAATTTTTTTTTCATATTCCTTATGAACTTCAGAGGTTCAGTGTTGCACCAAAGGCACTCGGCTGAGATGGTAGCTCTCACCTCTAAGCTCCTCCACTCACCTCCTTTATGTTATGGAATACCACTGTTTATCTTGGCACAAACTCAGTTACTAAGGAATCAGACAAATGTGTTTGAAAATCCCATTAGTAAACCATTGGAGTCCACATATAGTGGTTACTTGCCCAAAACAAAAGTGTAGGATTATTCTGCAAAATGAACTGGTTGCCTGCCCGAGGTCAAGGGCAACGTGTGCAGACATGAAGATTTGTTTAACCTGGAACTTTTTCTCTTTTTCTTATATAATTATCTAAACTTTATAACACCAGGGCTGGGAGGTGTGTGGCTCAATGTCAGAACATGTACTTAGCATGTGTTGGGCCCTGGGTTCAATCCTTTGCACCTAAATAAGTAAACATTTTTTTATTTAGGTGCTATGATAGAGCACATACTTAGCATGTGCATAGCTCTGGGCTAAATCCCAGCACCACACACACACACACACACACACACACACACACAGACACACACACATTCATATATAATATAAATATACCACAATGGCAGCTTAACATCTATAGATGTAATATTATTTATAATAAGAATAGAACAGAGGATGATCAGTGGGGACATGTGGAACTATGCTAAATTAAAGATGCATATGATAATTCCTACAGAAATATCTAGGGTAAAACTATGCAAAAAAGTAGGCTAAAAAATTAATAGAGGAATTAAAACCGAATATTAAAAAAATATTTGGTAAGACAGAAGAAGGCAGAAAAGGAGGAAAACAGGAACAAGAATACATAAGATCACTAGGCAACAGAAAACCAAATAGCTATTCTGAATCCAACTATTTCAATACTTACTTTGTATGAAGTTGGACTAAACATGCCACTTAAAAGGTAGATGTAGGGGCTGGGAACATAGCTCAGTTGGTAGTGTCCTTATCTCGAATACACAAGGCCCTGAGTTCAATCCCCAGCACCACACACACACACACACACACACACACACACACACACACACAAACACACAATGCATTAAAAGGCAGATGTGAAAAAAATGTATTTAAAGAAAGGCATAACTGTATGTTCCTATAAAAACCATACTATAACTATAAAGAAAGAATAGAAAAAGATACACCATGCAAACATTAAGTGTAGGAAAGATGAAATGATTACTACATTAATATTAGACAAAATAGACTTGAAGAATATTACTAAAGAGAAGGAGGGGAGAACAGATGTTTCACAATTACAAAAGAGCTAGTAGGTCTGGAAGATATGAAAATTATGAATATGTATGTGCTTAATATCAAAGTTTTACAATGCATGATGTGAGAAATAACATACATCATGTCCACAAGCAGTTTATCCCAGCAATGTACAGTTGCTTTAACATTTGAAAATAAATCCTTGTAATCCACTGTCATAAAAGGGAATCACATGGAAAGAAGGCACATGATAATCTCAATGTATTTGTACTTACCACGAGGAGTATCTGAAAAATTCAGTACTTATTTGTGAGAAAAAACTCACAGAAAACTAGAAATGAAAGGGATATTCCTCCATTTGATAAAAGGCATCTATGAAAAAGTTTGCTCACATGATCATTAAAGGTGAACCATGAATTCTTTCCCCTAATATTGAGAAAAGACAAGAATGCCTGCTGTCACTTCTATAAAACATTGGGGGGGGGGGGGGTCCCAGCCATTCCACTGAGACAAGGGGAAAAAGGGATAACGATAGAAATGAAATATATTCTTATTCTTAGTTATACATGATAAACTTCATTGTCTACAGGCTAAAAATAAACATGAAATGTCCAAGACTTTCACTCTCTTAACTACTACATTGTTAAGAGAAATTAAAGATGACTAAAATAAATGAAGACTTATAACACTCAGAAATGGAAAGACTCAATAGTTTTAAGATGATAGTTCTCCTCAAACTGATTCATGTATCTGTATGATCCTATTCACAAGCCCAGCAGAATTTGAAACAGCATTCTGAAATTTATATGGAAATGAGCAGAACCTAAAATAACCAAAAGAATATTGAAAAATATTTACATTACCTGATCTTAAGTCTTACTAATAAGTTATCGTAATAAAATTCTGTGGGTTTGGTGTAATGACTTACCTATTTTTTTTTTATCTTTTCCAAGAGCCAATCTTACCACTCCATTACTAATTAACTGTGGACTTTTAAAGGTTTTTTAACAGAGTCTGCTACATGCTAGTGTCATTTGTGCATCTTTATTATTCCTTTTCTAGACTGTGAGCTTCTCCTTGTATGTCAGCACTCAGTGTCATCTAAGTGCTTACAAAAGTCTTCAGGGTTTGCACCGTGTCATGACTGTTATTTGATGAAACAATGACCTCAATACATCTTAGGCAACTGCAATCTCAATCCTCAAGTTCACTGATGAAACACAAAAGCCACAAAACTTCCTTCTCCCAAATAACCTACCCAAGGCGGAGGGCTGGTTGGTTTTTGGTGACACCCACTTTGGGGAGGACTCAGGATGGGGGGCCACAGGTTGCACTGGGCGAGTCTGTTTGGCTGCCAATTTCATCAGACTCACTTGCCTCTTGTGAAATATTTCCTGTACATCACTCAGCTTCTGCAGAACTTTCTGGGCTTTGGCCTAGAGGAACAAAAGCAAACCATAAGTAGGTCTCTCTGTACCTGGTCTGAGAACATGAAGCATTTTCTTTCTTTCTTTCCTTCCTTTTTCCCTTCCTTCCTTCCTCCCTCAGGTGCCTCTCCTTTGGGTATCCTTATACAAGTCATTGTGTGTCTTGCTGAGCTCTAAAATTGTGCTTCTAAAGAGTCTGTGTCTCCTACTTGAGATCTTTGAAACTTTTGGGTCCTCTTCACTACTGTCTCTCCAGGGCTCAGTACTCTGCCGGGCATAGGAGAGTGCTCAGTAAACATATGTCCATTAATGATAGAAAAGGATGTCACAAGGCCACAGATAAAGGACATTAGGTCAATGCACAAAACAGGAGGATATTGAAATTGGAAAGATATCCTGAATAAAGATCCTGATGGAGAAAGAAGATGGTGCTCCTAGGGGAAACAGTGGCTACATTCTGAGGCAGGATCAAGGAAATCACGAAGCACCTGTAATAAAAAGGATACACATTTAGCTTTTGTTCTGCATGACCCCTTCTCTCTCAGTAGGAAAACAATACACCAGGAGAAAGAGCTCACAGACATTCCCCGACTATACGCTCTATAACAAAGGCTGGGGAAAATAAGGAACAAGCCTCAAGTTCCGCCAAGGTCTGCCTGCGTACAAAACATTCCTCCAGCCTCGCCTCCAGTAGGATGTCCCTCTAGCTCTGGTGGGTTAGGGGAAGTGGGGTCACACCTACTCTGACTTCCATGTCCTGTATGATCTGAACCACTAAAGGAAAGACTCTGAACGAGACAGCCGAACCACCACAAATCACACAAGTGGCTCTAAGGATGACTCATTCTGAAAGTGTAGGCTCAGCATAGCCCCTGGGAGGTTGATGCAGTTTATAACTGGAAAGTACATTCATTTTCTGAGAGAGGAAAGAGCCCTGAGGCAGGACTTGGAGCAATCAGGTCTCCATGGCCCAGGAGAACTGGCTGCACAAATGTTCCCTGCAGCTGAAGACCCTATCAATGCTGCCCTCAGGACCAAGATATGGGGCTGGTCTCACTCTTTGGAGGGTCTCAGAGTTCAGAGTTGTGCTCTTTTACATAGTAATCACTAGTCAGTGGCTGTTGAGCACCTGAAATGCAGCCAGTCGGATTTGAGATATAGTACTCTAAGTGTGGAATACACATTGTATTTTGAAGACTCAGTTTGAAAAAAGAATGTAGGGCTGCTGGAACACTTGCCTGATATGTACAAGTCCCTGGGTTTAGTTTGCAGCATCACAAAAATAAAATAAGAAAAATTAATCATTTTTAATACTGATTGTACATTGAAGCAATATTTTGGATACTGGTTAAATAAAACATGATTCAAATTGATTTCGCCCATTACTTTTTGCTTTTGCAAATATGGATATTAGAAAAATATAAAATTACATTTGTAGTTTGCATTACATTTCTATTGAGCAACATGGTCTAGGTCAAGGCTCATTAAACTTATTCTGTAAGGGACCAAATATTAAATATCTTAGGCTTTGCACACTATGGTGTCTCTGTTGCAATTACTGAGCTCTGCTGTTATAGTATAAAAGCAGCCATAATAATATGTAAGTGAGCAGATTGACTGTGTTCCAGTGAAACTTTAATTACAAAAACAGGTGGCAAGCTTTGGCGCACAAGGCTGCAGTTTTTTAACACCTAGTCTAGACTAAGCTCAGGGTCTTGTGTTCAAAGGGTCTCTTTGGAGAATATACTCTCTGGTGTCCAAAAGCTCACTTGTACAATAGACTAGAAGTTATAATAATATAACTAAGTCTAACTCTCCTCCCAAACCAAATTTCAGGGATGGTAATAAAACTTGGTGATCAGCAACTACCATCCTGCCATTGATGATCTTGAAGAAATTGAGACATGGGTGTAACTGCTACACAAAGATCAGGAAATCAGACTGACTGAACAACTGTCAAATGAGTGATGTAGGTGGATATAAAGCATGAGGTCACCCCCACAAGCCAGAGCGCAATGACTCAACACTTGGATTGGACCCGACTTGGGTCACCTTTGTTCTCTTGCATTTCTTCCTTAACCTTCCAGTGAGAGGCTGGGGATGTAGCTTAGTGGTACAGCATTTGCCCAGCATGTATGAAGCCCAGCGCCAGAGTATGTGTGTGTTGGGGGGAACCTTTGAAAACAGCTCATCATCAAGACCTCAGTGTGAACTCTGGAAATGGTTTAACTGTCAGAATACTCAGGTAAGAGGGAAGTTTATCCAACTGTACTCTCTCCTGTCCTCTTTCCTCTTTTCACTTGCAAATCCATCCCCATACTATAATTGAAATTATCTTTCTAAACTGTGTATTTGATGTCAAATTCCCCATTTTCTTATTTTTTAAAAGTAAAAACTATTTTAATTTCAATTTGCATATTTACAACAATAAATAGAATAATAAACTAAGACTTTAGAGAAAATAGATCATCACTGTGAGTGTAACATCCATGTGTTGATTTTTTTTTTCAGAACAAAGATCTTTTAAAAATGCTACCGTTTAAGGCTTGGGTTGTAGCTCAGTGGTAGGACACTTGCCTAGCATGGGTGAGACACTGAGTTTGATTCTCAACACTACATATAAATGAATAAAATAAAGGTCCATTGACAACTAAAAAAAAAAAATTTTTAAATGCCACTGTTTAGACTGTACTGTTTCTGTTTTGTATCCAGAGCTTGTGTGTGCAACAACAAATGAAAACTCCCTGTGTAATAAACCTGAATTTAAGACCTAAATATTAATTCCAATATTCCCAACTAACATGTTTATCACACGAAATATTTTTTACACAGTTCAATTCAGCAATTTTACATATGAAAAGTGATACCTACTTAATATTATTGTATAGTCTCAAAAAGTTAATTCAGGAAAATTAAAAATGATTTACAAAAGGCACTGAGGTTGGCGAGAGAAGCAGCAATTTTCATTTTGGATCAAACACTGGACATGTCCACAGAACTGCTGTGTGGGAGTCACTGTCCTGACACCAACCTGTTGCAAGGCCATCTTGTCTCAGGCACCCTGGCGGCTGGTGGTGCTTCCTACTCCCCACATGCTATATTGGAGAGGCCCTCCCCAGACTGGTGCCAAGGGAAATGGCTAAAGTCAACACCACATCACTTCCCTATTCAAAAACGTTTCACGGGCTCCACTGTGCATCAGGAGAAAGTCTTGATTCCTTGTCCTGGAGCAGGAGGCTCATCATGACTCCACCTGATTTCCCTCCAGCCTCACCTCCTGCCAGGACCACTCACCCCTGACCCATCTCCACATTCCCCAGATGCAGAAGCTCCCCCAGTGCACCTCTGTTCCTGCCTCTTTGTTTCCCTGAAAAATTCCTACTAAATCTTTAAGCCTTGATTTAGGCATCATCTCCTCTGTGGAATACCCTGGCCTCCCCAGGTCGAAGTGACATTGCCTCCCCTGGGTGCCCCCCTGTCTCCTTCATCTTACATACTTTCAGACTGAGTAGCATGGATTGGGAAGACATTTGTCCCCCACTAAACAGTTAGTACTTTATCACAAGGGTCACGACTTCCATTGTTATCTTCCCAGAAGACAGCACAGTTTAACTTGGCCCAAACCAGGCACCCAGTGAATATTAAAGGATCAAAATTTGCTGTTTGCAACTGAGATTGTTTTCCCTCTATGGATTAGGTGGAAAAAGTGAATGAGGTGGCAAAATCCAAGCAGCAGTACTAAGAGGGAGGACAGTGGTACTTAAAGAGAAGGTACTGTAAGAGCCTCCCGCAGTGATATGGCTGCTACTAAAAGAACAACAGCTTAATTTCTGAGTGGGTTAACAGTCACCATGTCTTCAGTGTAACAGATTCAACTTTAGTCATAGAGTGTCATTTAAAAAAAATAAAATTCTTTTATTTATTTTGTTTTTGAGACTGGGGCCTCCCTATGTTGCCTAGACTGGCCTTGAACTCCTGGGCTCAGGTGATCCTCCAGTGATCCTCCTGCTTCAGTCTCATGAGTCGCTGGGACCACAGGTGTGCACCACTCTCTGGTTATTTTTTCTTTTTTTAAAGGAGATCTATGGCAAAAGTGCAAAGCAGTACAGAGAATTCCCATATATCCCACATCAGTTTTCCTTTTATTAATATCTTACATTGTATATGCTATATTTTTTGTAATTAATGAACCAATTTTAATATATTACTATTCAATAAAGTTGATGCTTTATTTTTTATTTCTTAGTGTAAACATTTATATAAAAACACAATTTATTTTTCATATTGTCTTAGGCTCCTTTTGACTATCACAATTTCTCAGATTTTCCTTGTTTTCAATGACCTTTACTATTTTTAGGGCTGTTGGTTACGTTTTGTAGAATGGTCCTCAACTGGAATTACCTAGTATTTTTCTCATGATTAGACTGGGGTTATGGGATTTGGAGAAGAAAACCACAGAGGTAAATTGCCATTTCCATCGCATCATGTCAAGATACATACTATTGGGCTCAGGATGTGGCTCAAGCGGTTGCGCGCTCGCCTGGTATGTGTGCAGCCCGGGTTCGATCCTCAGCACCACATACAAACAAAGATGTTGTGTCCGCCAAAAACTAAAAAATAAATATTAAAATTCTCTCTCTTCCTCTCTCTCACTCTCTCTTAAAAAAAAAAAGATGGGCTGGGGATGTGGCTCAAGCGGTAGCACACTCGCCTGGCATGCGTGCGGCCCGGGTTCGATCCTCAGCACCACATACCAACAAAGATGTTGTGTCCGCCGAGAACTAAGAAATAAATATTATTAAAAATTCTCTCTCTCTCCTCTCTCACTCTCTCTTAAAAAAAAAGATACATACTATCCATATGACTTGTCACTGATGTGTTGACTTTGATCACCTGGGTAAGGTAGTAATTGTTAGGCTTCTCCACTCTTTAATAGAGTTACTTTATTAATTTCACCTCTCTATACTCCTTGGAAATAAGTTACTATGTGCAGCCTTTACTTAAGGAGT